GGGTAATAGCTGTTAAGGATTTAAAAAGTAGTTAGATCCTGTGTATATTTTAAAGTTACAGCTAATACAAGTTTTTCATAAATTAGATGTGAGGTGTGAATAGAAGCAAGGAGTAAAGGTGACTTCAAGGTTCCTGACATAAGCACCTGAAAGTATCCAGCAGCCATTAAAGTGGCAAAGACTGTGGGCAGAGCAGGTTTGTGATGAGGAATCAGATTTTCATTTTTGCAGATCTGACATCTGAAATTTTTATTAGATCCCTAATGAGAGTTATAAAGTACACAGTATATGAAGTACACAGTTGGATATAGATTGTGGAATTCAGGGGAGAGATCCAGACTAAAGATATAAATTAGGAGTAATTATAGTTCTGACATTTTAAAAATTGTGGGATTAGATGAGATCAGCAAAGGAGTGAGTATAAAAAGATGACTAAAATCTGACTCTTGGGTCATTCCAATTTATGAAGTTGGGAAGAAAAGGAAAAAAACAGCAAAGGAGAATGAGAAAAAGTAGATAGAAAATAGGAAGCAAACCAATGGAGTGTTCTGAAAGTCTAGTGAATAGTGCTTTTAAATGCTGAAGATAGATCAAGTAAGATGAAGACTGAACATAAATTAAATAAATTGCTTTTGTTAGTGTAAAAGTCATTGGTGATTCTGACATAAGAAACTGGATGCAAAAGTCTGATTAAAGTGGTTTTAAAAAAATTGGAGGAGGTAGTTTACACAAAGTTTAACAACTAAGATCTAAAAAGTCAGCTCTATAGATGTACAATAAATAATTTCTGACTCTCTAGGAAAAAAAAATATTTCTTCTTTCCTAGAATTTATTTATATGCCTTGGTAAACTCTCCAATTCCCTTTTTTTTAAATTGTTATGTCTACTTCAAAAGTTTCATATGGAGTTTGTTAAATCACTTGCCACCACCTAGCAGGAAAAAAGTTATTCTGTATTCTCTGTCTCCTGGTGCAAGGAGCTCAGAAATTATCAGTATTTTCTTGTTTTAATATTAAAAAGGGAGTGATTTTTTCTATTTCAATATGTTGCCTTTCAAAGTAAATAAATTATGTGTTTTTTTCATATATTTACTTTTTTTGGCTAAAATTTTACTTTGATCCCATTACTGAAAATGGGACACATGCCCAGATTCTCTTTGAACGAATCTCAGCATTTAATATAATGTTTAACTCATAACCATTGAGTTTGTAGATATAAATAAGGTAATTTTATATGATTAAATGATTTTTAAAAATAACACCTTGTGTCACTTGACCTGATGTTTTATAGTCCTCATCTTATTCACTTCTGATCACAGTGGAGCACACAAGTCATATTTTTGAGAACTCTTATTTATATTATACAGAAGAAAAAGTGACTGGATGATGGTTTGATACATGGACCTACTAAAGAACAAAGTATAATAGTCTTAATTTGTTTTAAGTTTCATATTTTAATTCTAATTTGATCACAAGTATTTATGTTAATATTCTCTCCTAACACTAAGGTCTCCCATCAGTCTTTTGGATATTAATTTACATTCTATAAATTTGAAAAATTTATAGATGGATTTCCTTGTGTGGCCTCTTATAAATCAAGAAAACTTGAGTCTGGGCCCAAGGTCTGTCTGTTACAAGCTATGTGGACTCGAACACAAAACTAATCTTTCTGTTTTTCCATCAATACAAAAATATATGTTTTCACATCTAAGAAACTAAAACGGGATAAAGATTAAGAATGTGGGCTTTGGAGATAGATACCTGGTTAGTAATCTGAAACACCTCAAATAGAACAAAATATGAAGTAGCGATCCAAAAGTTTTAGTCATTAACAACAAACTAATATTAGGGTAATAATAGGCAGAGTTTTTATATGTTATTTTTGAGGAAGATAAGATTTATATTATTTTCATAGATCTAATTTGAATTTTATTTCTCTCTTTATTGGATCACTTTGTTTTCATCATTGAACTAATTCATGTTTTTACTGGCTTCACAAATGGCAGTAAAAACTAACAACATATGATCTGAATGTAAAATATAAGCTTCTTATTATGAAATTTTGCTTTTTTTGCCCTCTTTAAATTTATACATTTTGTGTTTGTGTATGTTTATTTGTAGGAGATAAATTATAAAATCTGTGACTTTTCATAGTTTTATGTTGTGAATATGACATGATGTCTATTAGAATAGTCAGATCTGAAAGGAAGAGAGAGACAAAGGCCTCTTTAGAATGACTTGTATGTATGAACTGCTCAAAGCCTGCAGGAGTCAGGCAGAGCATCCCTGCTTAAATTATTTCAAGGTCGTTGGGTTGGAGCCCCATATGGACCAATTAGTTTCAAACAGTGCAAAAATGATGTTTTCTAGTCATAGACTGTACCTTTTGCCCTGGTCAGCTGTCTCCAGAAAGCCTGATGTATGTCACAGAGGGAACTCCTAAAAGAACATCTATGGCTCAGCACAAATTAATCACAACCACTGGATACAGAACGATCTCATCCAGACTGATGGTATCAGCAGCACAGCTGGTTATGTGTGAAGGATGCTTAATTCTAGGCAGGACCAAACATTATTTTGGTATTGTTCTCCTTAGTGCAGAGCAGTGGCCCATAAGCATTTTGTGCCATGGACCACTCCCACAATCAGCTTCCAAATGAAAATTTAAATGCATAAAATAAACTATATATTATTACTAAGGAAATCTAACATATTGAAATAGAGATATCAAAATATTAAAAATCATAGTAGTTTTTGTATATCAATGCATTACATAAAATCATTTCACTGAGTTTATTAATTACCATAATGTCAAATTAGTAATTGACATAAATGATATTTCAACATATCTTCAATATAAATTATAGTATGAAGTGAAATATATTGTGATATCTCAGTGCAAAGTCCCCAATTCTGCCAGACATCACTGTAGTTTAGTTTATTACCTACCTTCTTCTTCTTCTTTTTTTTTTGTGGGTTGGGGCATTCAATGAACAAATGTTTATTGTAGTTTCTTAGTTTACAAGTACTCTGCTAGATGCTGAAACTACTCTAGTGGAAGTTCTTTAATGTTTAAAACCCAGTAGCCAAACAATCCAAGTCCCTCAGGCCTGGGAATCTACTCAGTGCTGCTATAATGTGGACTAAACTGTTCTTGAGAGGACCAAGTTCTTGCCTCAGGATTGAATAATTAGAGATATCTATCTGAACTACTTATAAACTTTCATAGCTAAAATGTCACTATTTCATCTACAAAAGCACTCCAGAGTTTAGTATCAGACATTTTACTTTCATTTTGAATTGACTTTAAAATATAACTATTCTGACAACAGAGAAGACATACCAACAAAAAATGACACAATTTGAATCCATTTCAATGAATGTATATACCATTGAATTATATCAATATTTTCTCCTACATGTTGGTGGAAATTTTCTAGAAATCAATTGCCATGAAATCTTCCTTAAAATAAACTTTTCCCTTTTTTTGGTGGTGGGGGGAGTCTCACTCTGTCACTTTGTTGCTCAGGCTAGAGTACATTGACATTATCATAGTTCTCTGCAATCTTAAACTCCTAGGCTAAAGCAGTCCTCTTGCCTCATCCTCCTGAATACCTGGGACTGTAGGCATGGGCCACCACATTTGGCTAACTTTCACATTTTTTTTTTATAGAGATGGGGTCTTGCTATGTTGCTCAGGCTGCCCTTGGACTTCTAGCTTCAAGCCATCCTACCACCTTAGCCTCCCAAAGTGCTAGGATTGCAGGAGTGAGCCACCGTGCCCAGCCAAATTAAGCTTTTTGATTTCTGTATAATAAAATACATTTTTTTAGAAAACAGTAAATGTGGGGTTGGTGTTTCCCCATTCACAGTATGACCACTTAAAGATTTCCTAAGAAAATTTATTAGAAATAAATATTTTCATGAATTTCTTAAATGTAAGAGGAATAAATATACAAGAAAACAACTATATACATACTATTAATACATGAATATTAATTTCATTTGAATAATATTTCTGGTTAAATATGTGAAATTTCATAGCTATTAAAATATTACAACGAAATTAACTCTGTCCCTTTATAGGATACTTTTGGGTACATTCAGTGGACAATAAATATAGCCTTAATTTATCAGTTTTATACAGAATTGTGAATTATTTGGTATTGTCTTAGCCTTTGTGGGCTGCAAATAACAAAATACCATAAACTGGGTGGCTTATAAACAACAAACATTTATTTCTCATGGTTCTGGAGGCTGGAAATTCCACGATCAAGGTGCTAGCAAATTTAGTATCTGGTGAGGGCCCACTTCCTCATAGAGGGTGCCTTCTTGTGTTTCACACATAACACATAGAGCTGTGTTCTCACATGGTGGAAGCATGGGCAAAGGATCTCTCTAGAGCCTCCTTTATAAGGTCACTAAACTCATTCATGAAGGCTGTGCCCTCATGACCTTATTACCTTCCAAAGGCCATACTTCTTAATACCATCATCACCTTAGGGGGGGTTAAGACTTTAACAAATGAATTTTGGGAGTACAAAAACATTCAGACCATAGCAGGGATTTGATCATTAGTGTGGAATGAAAAGACATGGAAGAGAGAGAAGTAAGTATAGCAGTTTATTAGGGTTATAAATCTTTTTCTCAGCATTTCATCAGCAATTCATTCAAATGTATTCACCTCTTAATTTTCTTACTAAACATATTTAAGCACAATTATCTCTCTTTAGTGCATGCAATAACAATTATAATAATTTATTGCAGTAATGCTTTAAAAAAATACATACTGGGTTTGAAAACAGGAGACTATGCAATTGATTAAGCTTCTCTGAACTTTAATTTCCTCATTTATTTTCTCTAATGACCCCTTAAAGCCTTTCTTTTTTCTGTGATGATTACAGTTAAAAAGATAATCCCTATATATAGCATGAAAAGTAACAGTACAAAAGGATAGCATGAAATATACTTTTTTAAATCTTTTCTTTAAATTATTTTTAGGCTGAACAGGACAATGGCCATCCTCTTCCTGCCTTTGCCAGTCTACACATTGAAATACTGGATGAAAACAATCAAAGCCCGTACTTCACAATGTCCAGTTATCAAGGCTATATTCTGGAATCTGCCCCTGTGGGAGCAACCATTTCTGACAGTTTAAATTTGACCAGTCCTCTAAGAATAGTAGCTCTGGACAAAGACATAGAAGATGTAAGTTAAGTATATATATTTTGTTCTTGTTTGTTTAGTACATCTGTTGTTATATTTATTTTAATAGGACATATTTCAAAGATATGGCTATATGAACTGTATTACAGAGAACAATATCAGTATAAATGAGTTTTAGTGTTATAATTCAATTTCAAAGCAAGGATATTTCAAGATATGTATTTAATAACTCTTTTTTCAGTTTACAGATATTCAGTATATGAAAGAAAAAGAATGTTTCACTTGATGTTTGCTAAATCAGCAGGGCAACATTTTTTATTAACATAGGTTGAGAATTGTTTTATGTAATTACTGATAAGGAAAAATAATGATGTTATTCAATGCATATAAAAATTATGAAGGTAGCCCTAGAGAGTGAGTTGGGGAGAATTTTCTTCCATTCTGATGTCACGCTACTAAAGAAAACACAATTAGGGGCAACTGACCCACTCACATTTCTGCTGGTGACTATGTTTATGCTAACATTCTTCCACTCCTTATTGTCCTTGGTTTTTGTGGCACTGACACTATCTAAATGGGTGGGAAACGGCACAGGCTAAGAAAATCAGAATACTTTATTTACCTCCTCAGCCAGAGTGATGGTATCAAGAGTGGACAGAAAACCTATACAAGACCAGCCAGAGTCCTCCCAGGGATTTTCAGGGGAAAAAATAAATAAAATTCTAGATGGCATGATGTATTAAAGAAGTGGTTATGAATCTGAAGTCTTTCTAGCCATGTTTGTTGACATGATGGAGAAAGCCCATTATCAGGGGGAGAGAATGAATCCTGAGAGACACACACAGGGAAGAGAGTCCTGTTGAGTTCCTGCATTTTAAGTTACAAGGTCCTGACAGCTATCCTAATTCCTAAAGATTTTTCTTTGATTCTGTTAACTACCACAATATTTCCCAAATATATATATATATATATATATATATTTTTTTTTTTTTTTTTTTTTTTTACATAATTTGAGTTCTGTCACTTGCTTTTCTAAATGTCCTGATTCTTAGCCTGACTCTGTAACAGTGCTGTCTAGGAGAACTTTTTGTGATGATGTTTTGTAGTTGCACCATCCAATATGGTAGCAACAAACCATGTGACTAAATGAAAACATAACTTTAAATTTTGATTTATTTTAATGAATTTAAATAAATGAATATAAATAATCACATGCTGCTATATATGTTCATATGTCACTAATTGGACAGCACAGCTCTAGAATGTCCCAAAAGTCTTGTTACACAGAGCTTTATTATCACTTCTGTAAATTAGGAGGATACTTTCAGGTTTTGTTTTGTTTTGTTTTTTTTCTCTTTATAAAGAAATTTTGTGAGCTTTAGCAAAGGCTGGAAGTGCTATCGTGGGCATTCCACCTGTTCCCTCCAGATGTTTTATTTTATTCTTTTATCTGTCTCTGCTTTTTTCTTCTTCCACACCACCTATTTTATGTCATGTCTTTTTGAATCACAAGTTTTAACAATAGCTAATTGTTATTGCATTCTTAGTACATGATAGACAATATAGTAAATGTTTTATCTTGCATTTAATCCCTTAAACCTTACAGAAAACACAGTAGATATAATTTTCCATATTGCAGAAGGGGGCATTCAAACTATTTTTAAATGCCTACTATGATCACAGAGTTAGTGAATAATAAAGCTGGACCTTGAGCCAAAGTTGATGGGAAACAAAGTCCTTGATTTTAAGCACTACTCTAGATAGCCCCCCTCTCTTTTATATACTTTGACTATAGTCTGACCATAATAATAGCTGACAAATGCTATAGATTTTCTCCCTAGAAAAGTACACATGAATACACTATTTTAAATACTAGCTTAGAAGGTTTTGAGATCCCCCCTGGTAGATTTCATGAGTCACAGGAAAAAAGTCTTCATTTAGTGAATCCTGATTAGAAAACACCCAGAATCACCTTAGTAAGTTTATTCCAGGCTAAGATAATAAATTTTGCAGGCCTGGTGATGTCCCTCAGGTTTTGGTGTGAATTCTGCTTAGTAGTGACTAGTCAATTTGAAAGTTCATAGTGGTTTAGGTCATACCTAGTGGATATAGTGATTAATAAAAGCTAAGTTCTAAAGTTACACAGTTTTAGATTTATATAATAGCAAAAATGTTGTATTTATTCTTGTTCAGTATATTTATATTATTTAATGATTGCATACTAAGCCCTGTGCTTGCTTGTGTGCTCCTATCTTACCTGTATTGTCTCTTCACTTTAAAATTACAAATGTTAAAATTGTGTCCCAAAGAACTTTGGGAAAGACAGTGGCACTACAGAGCATTAATAAAATAGAGTGGGGAGAGCTCAGGGATCCAAAACCTTTGGGAAACACTACTTAGAATTCTACTCTTAGAGACTTACAATGCCAGTTAGCCTCTTCAATGGCTTGAGATGTTTCCAAAGTATGGGTTGTTAGGGGTTTGCGCTTTGGAATTAGCTCTGGAATTGACTCCTAGTTCTACCATGTAATAGCAGTGCAGTGTTGTTAGCTTCATATTCACTAGATACCCCATCTTGTCCAATCACTTACATGGTCTATATGGTAGTAATCATTACTGCTTTGGCCTGCTTCTCCAGTTGGTGGGGATGGGCATGGGAGGAAATTTCCCAAAGATTATGCCTTGTACATGGAGGGTGGCATGATTAATATGTTTTGTGAAAATGTCAAGTAATTAAATGATGCAAATCTGATCATTTGATTATTATTTATACCCAACCTCTGTCTAAAATTTATAGTGAGTGGTTGTCATTAGATGTCTAGAGAGTGAACAAGTATATCTAATCCCTTAGTAACAGAAGTTTTATCATAGTTTTTATATACCTGTAATTTTAAATAGGTTCATAGAATATTAGAGAGAGTTTATTCCAACTTCCACTATGTTCAATGTTCTACTAAAGTCCTTTCCCTAGAAAATGATGTAACACTTCATTGTACCACTCAAGCTAGAAACTGAGAACTCTTCCTTGATTTTTATGTTTCCTTCAAGTTCTTCCTATTTTTTTCCCTAATTATTTCTTGAATCGCATTTCTCCTTTCCATCCTTACAACTTCCATGCTACTAGTCTATTGTTAGATTTCCTTCCTGATTTCCTTATTTCATTCATTTCCTAATCAAATCCATCTTTCACTCAGCCACTAAAATGATTTATTTTAAAGCTCAAATCTGACTATATCACATTTCTTTCTAATATACTTTTGTGATGCTTATTTCTTTAAAGAAGAAAATTCAAGCTCACATACATGACTTTCTGTATCTTGGGTACCTAAATATTTCTGCAGCCTCAATGTCTGAAACTTCCTACTTCACCTATTACATTTAACCACTACTTGTAGTTTCTTCTATATGCCAGGCTACATCTCATTTAATTATTTTTGTTTGTTACATTTTCTATGCATTGTGATCTTTCATCTTCTATTACACAGGCTGGCTGGGCAATATGTACACATGATACGATGAATCATATGCTTCAAAAATTCAAACAGTATTGAATTAACTGTTTCACAATATGGCCCATTCCATGATCGGACAACTCTAATTCTTAGAAAATTCTTCATCACATGTAGAAATCAGCCTTCTCGTAACCTCAGCCATTATTTTTTTTAAATCTTCCACTTGCCAGGACACAATAAATTTATGACATAGTCATTAATATGTCTAAAGATATATTTGTGTCCTTCTTAATTATCTCTTTTTCTGGTCCAAGCACTCTTTATTTTTATAAAGTAAATTAACTCACTACTAGGATTTTTAAAGATCTTTATTAACAAAATAAAACATCAAGGTCCTTTTAGTTTACAGGCAAGAATTTTACTACATGGTAAAATCTTGCTGTCTTTTAGACTCAGAATTAGTGAAAATAATCAGCATTGGGATAATTTTTGCAAGAAGAGAGACAGGGGTATTTCACCTTATATAGGTGTCAGAATTAGAAATGGAGATTAAGCCTCAAGCATAAAATGAGAAGTTTTACTGTAGAGGTTGACTCTCATGAGCTGCTGCAAGCACAGCTATGCCAGAAGGCACATGCTAAGAAAAGCATAACTTTGGATCCATTTGTTTAAAAATTAAGTTGTGTTTCTCTTTTCAAGTCAGTGGAAAGTAAGACAAAGTTTTAAGAAATAGTAATGGGGATTGGTGAGTGCTGATGCTCTTCCAAGTGTAGATTTCAGGAAAATAGAATCCTGAAGGTCACAGTAAAACTAAAACTCTGGCATAGTACAAGTACTTGAAAAAGCATATTGTGTAAATGTAAGCAATTGATATATAAACATATATATATTTGTATATGTCTCTCTATATATATCTATAAGAAGAAACATTAGTGTACATATGTTTTATTTACTTGTTTGTTCTTCATATGTGTGGTTGTGATCATTTATATTTACAGTATTTATTTCATGTCTAATTTGCATATAGGTTCCACCTGGTGGAGTTCCTGTAGGTACTAGGTGTTAATTTTGTGATTGTTCTTTTGGTAATTGCTGTGATACATTTGTTTGTTCTTTTTCTTTTCCTTTAA